TGATTAATTCAAAAGAATTTTTTATTGCAAATTTTGGTTTAAATCAGTGTGGAACGTAATATTTACTAATTTTGTTGAGAGTTTTGGTGAAACAAGATTTATTAGATTGCTTAATAGTATCTTTAGACCAAAATTATTTTCAATTTAATGGACAGATTTACATCTCTAAAGATGGTTTGATTATGCGTAGCTTTGCATTATGAAATTCGACGGGCCTCACGAATTCCATAAAAATTGTCTTCGCTTCATTAGCCATGCATATTTTCGTAGAAGATGGACGACCAGATGCGGTCATCTGCAACCGGCAGTGTCGTCTTTCAGGTCTACCGGGGGGGTAACTCGATATCCTCATCCTCACTCGGATTTCAAAAACGATCCGCGTTGCCAGCTCGACCTCTATTGTGCGCAGAATCGGCAGTAATTGAAAACGGCATCCACTAATAATTACGTCGCGAGACCACTAGGATCCTCGGACGAAATAATTAACCACTTTACTGACCACATGTTCCCTTCGCTAAACGCAGGAAACGATTTTAATTTATATACAGGGCGTTCCGCAGCAGCATATTTCCTTCATAAACGGGTTTGATTGGAAAGTACGAAAAGAGGCTGAAGTATTTAAAAAGAATTAAAAATCGCGTTTGCAAGAGTCTACAAAAAAGACCATTTTTCAAAAACCGTTTACAAGGCCAAAAAAATTCGGCTCCGTATTTTATTCTTGACAATTTTTTGAAAAAAAAAACTGGAATGTGGGCCCCCAAATTATTGAAAAGTGGCTATATCTAAAAGATCGAGTTTCGCGAATCAGTTGTACAGGGTGTTCAAGGTATTAAGTGCTATATTCAAAAATTAACAGGTGTCTTAAGTTTGCAGCTATCGACTTCAGATTTGGCAGAAGGGTAGAAGTCCACACCCGCATTTCATATGTTGAAAAGGAACTTACTCAAATCACGCAAAGCATTTTTTTAAATTTTTTTAATTTTTTTTTTTTGGTATATTTAGCCTTCCAGAAAAAAATTATTTTCTCGAAAACTATTGACCCGATCGGCAAAAATTGTAAACTAGGAAATGCAGGATATCCGGGACCATAACTTTCATTTCAGGTATTTTTTCCATTATATATATGGTTTTTTAATTATAGACAAAAATCTAAAAGACTTTTATATACGCTGTTCGAAATATTTGAAAAAATCCAAATGAAAATCACCATTTCTCGCCCTCATCTAGACGCGATGATGTCATTTACTATTGCTACGTACTGCGTGGTTCAGAAAACAAGTATTTTCTTGAAAACCACTGACTCTCTTGTAAAGCTATAACCTCCAGTTCGAACATTGTTTGAATTATATACAGGGTGTGTCGTTCATGGGCGAAAAAATCAAAAACATCCCAAAAATTTCCGTTTTTATGGGTAAATTATTGGGGATAAATGCTAAAGATGCGATAATTTGATTTGAACAATATCGTAAACCGTATCGAGTGGGAGTTACAGGTTTCGTCAATTATACAGAGCGCGCGAGATATTTGAAAAAATATCATTCGACAAGGCTATTATTTTATATTCAACAACAAGCAATTTTTCGAAAGCAATATTGTTTCATTTTTGCAGTTGCACGTCGAAGTACGTCGGAGAATACTGCCAGCACCTTAACCCGTGCCACACGGGGAAGGGGCCGGGACCGCGGTGCCAGAACGGGGGCTCGTGCCAGGTCCGGATCGGCTCCGGGGGCGTTCCCAGTTTCGAGTGCCTTTGTCCGTTGGGGTTTAGCGCGTCGCTATGCGAGATACCGATAGCCAACTCGTGCGATCGCCGCCCCTGCCTCAACGGCGGTACTTGTACCCTGAGGTCGCTCGACTCGTACCAGTGCTCGTGCGCGCCAGGATATACGGGTGAGTAGTACTGGAAAATAGACTTACACATATATTGAATTTACTAAACGGAATTCCCTACATTTTTAGGTATACTTAAATAACTGCGAAGAATGTTTGGGTATTACGTTTTAGTTTACAAGAATTGCAGGAAATATAAGAAAGTAATTAAGCTACAACTTGAATTTTTAACGAAACAAGCACAAGACAAATCCCTAGACCATTTTTTCACTTAGATGTTTCATGTGCGATATCAAAGTTATTTCAATGGAGGTTAAACCTAAAATACATGTAGAAATTGCGCCGTATCTACAGTGCTTGAAGAACAAAAACGCCAACTGCAATTATTCACTGCTTTTCCAGGCCTTAACCCCTTTTCTGCCTGAAAATTTAATATTATTTAGAAATATATTGAGAAAATGCTGCTGTAATAATACCGCATCCAAACATCTGTCAGCGGCCATGTTGTTTGCAAGGTCTTATGGGTCCTACGTCAGAATTTGTCATTAGAGCTGTCATTGGTTAGAAACGAAATTTTAAATCTCACGCATGCACGCGTTGAATGGACCTTTACATAGTTGCTTCATGCGTTCCTGTACTGTTAGCATAGTCTAGTAGCTATGTGGTTACAGCTTTGCAAATAGCAAGGCGAGGCGCTTGAACTGAAGTCCCCGCTTTTTATATTTTAATTCTGTCATTTTACATCTCCCCATACACAATAAAATACCGGTTACCTACCGGGGAGCGGTTAATGGTGATTTGCGAGCGTAAACTCTTCTTTTGTCACCGGGCCTCTAAACCTTACAACGTTGCCGCATTAGCATAAAATTCGCCTGCCGCAGTTAAGGTTAGGGTCGTAATTTGCGGGATTAAAGTTTTTAAAAAGGTTCTCGGCGGTCTTTATTGAAATCTGAACCGTTTCGAGAACTATTAAGTGGGTATCCCAAACGAAGAAACTTATATAGTTTGTCTGTTATCTGCGCTATGCAGTTTGATACTTTGGTGGTCAAGATTGTTTACACTTTTCGTGTTGTTGAAAATACCAACTTATATTAAATTAAATGTCTTTAGTTAGTTTAAAGGCTTGTTAAAGAAACTTCCACAGGGCACTGTCATACTTTTCACAAAACTTTTGGGTTGGAGCCTAAAATCTAATCCCGTAATCGTTATCCTAAAAGCAGGTAAAGTAAATGCTACGGTGGTCATGAACACAAATGTATATCCGGAAAAGATTCAAGATTCTTTCAGATGGATCATATCGTCAATATAAATATATAAATATTAATAATATAAAAATAAATAGGTTCGTACTTAATTCTTTTCACCTCATAGAACAATTAAAAAGCATCACATTAGATACACAAGATATTCTGGTTAGTTTCGACGTAGAATAACTCTTTACTAAAGTTCCTATTCCTGAAACTCCCAACATCGTTTCAGATATATTAAAATCCGAGAATCTGGAACCTAACTTTCTCACCTTAATCGAACATCGACTGGACCATATTTTTCTTATAACGGTTAAATTTTTGAACAAACGGGTTCTCGACTATCACCAGTTAACGTTGGGTAATTGTGTTTATAGAAAATCATCCGGTCCAAAAATCGTCAGTTATCAACTCTCTTGTTTACATACTCATAAAACTATCTCACTCCGAGTCACTGAACACAGAATTAAAACACCTTACCTCTGCTCTTCTCTCTAATAATTGCCACATTAAAGATATTAAGCGTTCCATCAGCACCACAACGTTCCAATGGCAATGAGGTCGAAAGCAATCCTATACTTGCTACTGTTTTCCTTCCTTACATTCAAAACATCGCTGACCACATATCAAAAGTTCTAAAGAAATATAACGTCAAAACCACTTTTGATGCCAGGAGTTTATACCATTGCACCGGACAAACGTTAGCAAGTTCGACTCAACAAAACCCGACATAGGAGGAATACAGAAGTATTGTAAAAAGGATTTAGTCACTTGATTATCAATAAAATGAAATTGAAATTCATGAAATATATAAGCATAGTAATGAATACTGTTTTATACAATTTTGACAATATTTTGAAACTTCATTTTGCTTTAGGTGGTCTGCGAAACTTCACATAATATTGAAGAACCATAAAATAAAGATTAGCAACAATACTATTTACAAATCTTCTAAATTCCTCCTGCGTTGGTAATTGATCTTGCTGACGTTTCTGCAATCATCCTATTCGCTTCTTCAGAACTTAACTCAAATCATCAGGGTGATTGGCAAAACGTCAGCAAGTTGGATTTTTCAATAACCGACGCTTGAGTAATCCAGAAGATTCGTCATTGAAATGTCGTTTTCCAGGTAAACACTGCGAGAAGCAGGACCACTGCGCCTCTCAGCCGTGCAGGAACGGCGCGGTGTGCGTATCGGTCGGCGACTCGTACCAGTGCACTTGCGCGCCTGGTTTCGCTGGAGCCGCTTGCAAGGAGGACAAGGACGAGTGCAAGCAGAAACCCTGCAAGCACGGCAAGTGCCACAACACCCACGGGAGCTACACGTAAGTGCTTTGTAGAGAGAACCGCGGTTGGTATTCCTCGTGTTTGGTTTACCAATTAGTGGGTATGTACCGGTAAAACTGGTCGGCTACGTTTGCTTACGGAATTACGTGGTGATCGCTGCCCGTAAGTCTTGAACCATTAAAGAAAGAAAATGCGGGGTCAAATAATTTGTGTTAAGCACCTAATAATACCTACACCGATAGCTCAACCTCAAAAATTAAACCAGGAGTAAAAAAAAAGCTATTCCATATTATTATAACCGAATCATAATTAATTTATTGAAAATGTTATTTTTTGGATAATTTTATTTATTTAGCCTAAAGCCGGAGTTTTCGAAAATCTTACAAATACCAATAACACATTTTTCACTCTATAGGAAAATGGTTACTATTGAGCAAGTTTTTTTTTATTAAATACTTTTTAATAAATAAATAAAACATTATAAATATTGGATAGTGAGGCACGACATCCAAAAGTTTCGTCAAATTTTGGTTACATTAAGTTAGTCAAAAATAAATCGACTTGATGGTTAAATTCCACAAAAAATAATAAAAAGCTTAAATGCCTTGCTCCACCCTTCCTTTATTTTGAACGAGCTAACGTTTCAATAAATTTATAATAAAATTAAATAACAATACATTTTTTTAAATTTTATTATAGTAAAACTAAATAACAATATAAAATTTCCTTTTTAAAGGTCTCTCTGTAAAACGTTCTTTGTTAAGGCTTCCTCTATACAACCTCCCTCTAAAAGTCCCTTTAAAATTTTCTGCCTAAAAGCGTTCAAAGGCCCTTTTAAACGCTCGCTCTTAAAAACATCCCTCTCTAAAATCTCCTTGCCTCCCTAAAAGCTTCCACTTGTCTTGTCTTTTATCTAAAACTCTCTCTAAAGCCTCCTTTTGAAAGGTCTCTCCTTAAAAGTTTTCTCTAAAAACTTCTTCTGCCAAAACGCTCTAAAATCTCTAGAGTTCTATTTCTAAAATTCTCTTCAAGAGCTCCGGCACCTCCCTCCAAAAGCTTTCGTGTGGTTCCCTCTCTATATGAAATCTCTATTGAAATGCTATGTCTAAGAGCCCTATTTCTAAAATTCGCTTCAAGACCTCCCTCACCTCCCTCCAGAAGCTTCAGTTCACATTGTACCCGCGTGCATTATTTTTGCAAGCAAAAGTGCAAAGGCTATACGCGCGGGCGGTATTCACGCGACGGGGTGCGACAAGGCTCTCACTCGGGGCCCCGTTATCCGCGACGTTGCAGTTTGCTTGTACGGCCTCCAGCAAGGACGTAGTAGCATTTTTTTCCTTCAACCGGATCCAACGTGACAGAGAGAAGAGAGGAAAAAATCCAATTAAAGTTACGCGTAGCGGCGACGGCGTAATTAAATGTTTTTTTTTTCACGAGTCGCCGCTATAACGACTTTCAATAATCGCGATGGAAAATGGTTTGTTTGCCTATCGGAACGTTAAACGTCGAAAGACCCGGTATGTTCGTAGTCGTTAATTTTTCCAAATGGCGCCATTATTGCGAGCGACGATAAAGCTCGGGCGTTAAAATTCATCAAACAAATGAAGAGTTGATGTCCTAACGGAAGCCCGTAAAATCTGTAAATAGGGGAGTAAAAAAGCCCGTCAATTTCGCTTCCTTCTTGAGAAAAAATTATCGACTTAAAACCAGACGAAACCTGACTGCCTGTGTGCCATTATACGATCTGGTAACCCATAGGAGATACGAAAAAAAAAAAATAATTTTGTTGATACAAGGTGTCCCTAAATTGTCCCCCCTGACATCAACTTTGTTGTTTTAAATGAACACCCTGTATATATCGTCATTTTTGAAATCCTTGGTTAAAATAAAGGTTACTTTCTTAAGGAATTCCTATTCCAATTTTTTTTTATTTGATATATTTTGATTGCCCCATATAAAATTGTGTTGCGACGCTACTGATACAGGTATTGCACCGAAAATTTACTTACTAAGAAGATCATACACTAGTAGTTTGATGGATGCGACTCAGCTTATACAGGATGTCCCAAATAGGTGGTGCACCTTTGGGGTATTCAATTAACGTTTTTATTTTAAAGCTGTTGTTGGTAATATTAGGTATTTTTTAAACAGGAAATACACGATCCTACTTCTTTTAAACATATAATACTCCAGATGTACGAATAAAACCTATACGGGTGTCATCTTTAACCTCGAATATCTCAAAATGGAAGTAAAATTTAAATATAACATAAATTTCAAACTTACCTACTTTTTGTCCTAGAATTGATATCTGAATAAAAATATAAGGGGTTTCGTTTGAAAATCTTGAGATTTTGTTTATTAAATTCGCCAAAACGGCAGCGCCTATTGGGGACACCCTGTATAAGCTGAGGCAAATCTGTCATACTGATTGAGTAGTGCATCATCTCCTTAGTCTGTGGTTAAATTTTCGTTGCAATACGTGTATCAGTAGCGTCGCAACACAATTTAATGTGGCGCAATCAAAATATGAAAAAAAACAAATAACGTCTATTTCGGCCTAAACTATGCAAAATTCGAATAGGAATTTCTTAAGAAAGCGAATTTTATTTTAACCAGGGATTCCAAAAGTGTCGATATATACGGGGTGTTTCATTTAAAACAACAAAGTTGATGTCAGGGGGGACAATTTTGGGTATCAACAAAACTATAATATTTTAAATCATCAGGAGAATCTAGAAAACTTAGAAAACAATATCGGAGGGGAGATATCAACAAAATTAAAAAAATTAAATCTTCAGGAGAGTCGAAGGAACTTTCGCACGATTTTTTTTTGTATCTCCTATGGGTTTCCAGATCGTTAACAAATGTTCTGGGAAAACGAGTTAAGTTGCGTGGAGACGGCCGTTTAGAAAGAAAATGGTGCGAAGTTGCAGGTAAGTGGGTAAAATTTATAGGCATGCGCGGAAGGCCATTTTAATCTCTTCAAAAATATTATAGCCGCCGAAAGCGGATCAATTTTTACTATATTAGGACCACTATATTTTCTAACAGTTATGTGCCGATCAAATATCAGTTCATCAATCCAATCAATTCAATCTGCTCGCATAAAAATTTCTGCAGAGCAGCTGATAGCAAATGTTTTCTATACAGACGACTTGAATAAGTACACTTTATTACCTTCAGTTTAACACATAAATCCATAAAATAAGTAGAAAAAGCTGCACTAAACTTACGGCCAATGTCATAAATGTACATGAACTAAATACCTTAAAAATCGTATTCACTTACACCCACACTGCCGTACGTGGAGATACGGTCAGTTATTAACAACATATATTTTTTGAATCTACTAGAAGTAAACAGTCCTAAACGTTTCATTTAAGGATTCAATATTAATCACGATCTTTTAGACCAGAATAGCCTCTTGTTTAATGCGCTAACCATAAAAAAAATATATACGCGTTTTATCAGAAATCTATTTGGCACATATCATTCAGCGTTAAATCGGGTTTCTAATTATTTTCTTTCCTCTTACTATTTCTGGTTCCAGATTGAATCCTACGAGATCCGCAAGACAATCCTTTGGTTACATTTGATATTGCCAAGTTGAACTGTTAAAATGCGAAAATTTCTGAACATAAACTGGGTAATTACAATTTGGGATTGCTTTAAATAGTAACAAAATGTTGTTCATAATGAAATATTTTATATATTGTTTATTAATGATTTTTTATACTAATAATAATAATAATAATAATCTGCTAGTATTTGTAAACGAACTGATTTTGCAGAACCTCACAGATTTCAACACCGACAACGACAACGACCGTCAGTACATTAAGACTCTTTGGCTTGATAATTACTCCGACAAATAAAATTTTGCACTTTGCTGCCTGTATGTTGATATTTTTATTAAGAGGGATCTCCTGGGCTTTTACAAAAGTTGAGTTGCGAGAGCTGATTAGGTCTCTGTCACATCAGTGTCCTTGAACTATAGGTAATTCACCTTTGATTAGAAATTGCGATAGTGTATTGCTTATTTTAAAAGCTCCAGAGAAACTAATATGTTATTTACGAATTTACCCTCAGGAGGTTTTGATTTAATTATAGTGTAAGCCAAATCCCCAAACAATGTTAATTTATAGGTTCAACCAATTTCAATAAAAACGGCGGACGCGCGTAATTCGAACTTTCTTCTTGTTTATAGTTACCGTTTCCTCGCTGCGTAGATTATTATAACCCCGTTTATTTATCTGCCGGGTAATTAGCAGTCTCTGAACGCATAACTTTTCCGACTTTCTTGTAAATTATTGTTTAAAATGCACCCGTTTTGCATAAACAAAGTGCCCGCGTTAAAGAACCGTCGCCGCCTTTTAACGGTCCCGCTAATGGCCGCGAAAAACCATTAAATTTTAACATATTAATTATTTTTTACGATGAAAAAACGGGGCTAACGAAACAAAAAAATGACGACTTTCGGTGCCTCCTTTCATTGTTTCGTATCATCGTACACGATGGTTCATCAAGATTTCGAAATTTTTATATCAAAAACATTAAATTCAAATCATATTTTTAAGTTTATTTTGTATAAAAAGCTGGATTTTTTAATATCTAATGAAGAGGTAATAATAAGATTAATAAGATAACGTGTTAATCTGTCCTTAAAAATATTTAAAATCTTTTTTTTATCGAGGAATTAAACGACTTTCAAATCGACAACAAAAATAATTACCAACAAAATAACTCCATTTGTAAAACCTCTCTGAAAAACAACGAGATTTCAGAAGATCTTTTAATGACGCAGTATTTGTAATTAAACAAATTATAGAAAAATCAATTGAGTACAACATACCAGTGTTTTTATGCTTCACAGACTTAGAAATAGCATTTGGATACGTGATACACATACTTTATAACAGAAATATCCCATTTGACATAATAAAAATAATCGAAAATATTGTTAGGCAAGGGGACTCACCAAGCCCCTCCCTCATTAAGCCCCTTATTATTTAATATTATATTAGACGAACTAATT